ACTCTCCTCCCTAAACACACAGGGGTTAGGGTTAGGGTTAGGGTTAGGGTTAGGGTTAGACACACAGCACACAGGGGTTAGGGTTAGGTTAGGGTTAGAGTTAAGGAGGTTAGGGTTAGGGTTAGGTTAGGGTCAAACACACAGCACACAGGGGTTAGGGTTAGTGTGTGGTGTGTGGGGGTCAGGGTCAGGGTTAGGATCAGGGTTAGGGTTAGGGTCAGGGTTAGGGTTAGTGTGTGGAGGGGGGGGTACCTGAGTACGGAGAAGACTCGGGTTAGGGTTAGGGTTAGTGTGTGGTGAGTGGGGGTTAGGGTTAGGGTTAGGGTTAGTGTGTGGTGAGTGGGAGTTAGGGTTAGGGTTAGGATCAGGGTTAGGGTTAGGGTTAGTGTGTGGTGAGTGGGGGTTAGGGTTAGGGTTAGTGTGTGGTGAGTGGGGGTTAGGGTCAGGGTTAGGATCAGGGTTAGGGTTAGGGTCAGGGTTAGGGTTAGTTTGTGGAGGGGTTGCTTCACCTGAGCACGGAGAAGACCCGGGTTAGGGTTAGGGTTAGGGTCAGGGTTAGGGTTAGTGTGTGGTGAGAGGGGGTTAGGGTTAGTGTGTGGTGAGAGGGGGTTAGGGTTAGTGTGTGGTGGGTGGGGGTTAGGGTTAGGGTCTGGGATAGGGTTAGGGTTAGGGTTAGTGTATCGTGGGGGTACCTGAGTACGGAGAAGACTCGGGCCATCTTTCCCACGGCGCGGATCTTGTTCCTGATGACCTCCTTACGCATGGCCGACGTCCCGCCTGCAAAAGGAGAAACAGGGTTAGGGTTAGGGTTAGGGTCCCGCCTGCACACAGAGAAACAGGGTTAGGGTTAGGGTTAGGGTCCCGCCTGCAAACATACGGAGAACCTGTGTTAAGGCTAGGGTTAGGGTTAGGGTCCCGCCTGCAGACATACGGAGAACCTGTCACTGCTCTGGGTTAGGGTTAGGGTTAGGGTTAGGGTCCCGCCTGCAAACATACGGAGAACCTGTCACTGCTCTGGGTTAGGGTTAGGGTTAGACAGATCTGCCCAGAGGAGCAGGTTCAGACTCAGATCAGGACCGGTGGTTGGAAAAATGGTCAAAATCTTAACCCTGTAATGCCAAATGTATCATATCTGATACGGTTTCTGAAATGTTTTGCATAATTAGGGGGGCCCACCTATTACTATCCAAAATACTTATTAGGGGGGCCACTGCCAGCGGCAAGGCCCACCTATTACTATCCAAAATACTTATTAGGGGGGCCACTGCCAGCGGCAAGGCCCACCTATTACTATCCAAAATACTTATTAGGGGGGCCACTGCCAGCAGCAAGGCCCACCTATTACTATCCAAAATACTTATTAGGGGGGCCACTGCCAGCAGCGAGGCCCATTTATTACTATCCAAAATACTTATTAGGGGGGCCACTGCCAGCGGCAAGGCCCACCTATTACTATCCAAAATACTTATTAGGGGGGCCACTGCCAGCGGCAAGGCCCACCTATTACTATCCAAAATACTTATTGGGGGGGCCACTGCCAGCGGCAAGGCCCACCTACTACTATCCAAAATACTTATACCGCGGCTTATAATTCTCCCGTTTCCGCGGACCGCTTCTCCTCCTGCACAGTACGACGGACCGGGCCAAAAATTGGCACGCGCGTCCGGAACCACTGTTCCATGCGTGCTTGTTCAAAACTTTCTCAAAAGAGCTGGCGTTTTCTAATAAACGTCAAAAAAGTGGTCAAAACGCCGCCCCCATAGGAAATGAATGGGAAACGGCCCCACGACGTCCGAGAGACCTCGTTCGAACACTGAACGGGTCACGAAATGAGGTGAAATAGGATGATTTTCTACGCCTGACTATCACTCACAGCACACTAGTGTACCGAGGACCAGGGGTTAAAAACACTGCCTTAGAGGAGGTTAAGGCCCTGGGGGGTTAGGGTTAGGGTTAGGG